CTTCAGTCTACTTCCTCAGATGTCTACGAAAATTCATGCTGCCAATTTTTTTCTTTCAGTTAGTCTCAAACGTGCTACAAGATCTCTCTATGTACTGATTCTACAGACTAACACAGCTATATCTTTGAATACACTGGATAATATAACCTATCAAAGAATTCAAATGAATCTCAGCCTATGCTTTATTAGACTATAGCAAAGCATTTGACTGTATAGATCATGAAAGATTATGGGTTGCTTTTAAAGAAATGGGTGTGCCAAAACATTTGATTGTTGTGATGTGTAAACTGTACTCAGGACAAGAAATTACTGTTTGGACAGAATATGGAGAAATGGAATGGTTTCCAATTGGCAAGGGGGTCAGACAAGGCTGCATCTTATCATCCTATCTGTTTAACTTGTACGCTGAACATACTTAAAGCAGAATTGGATACGGAAGCATGAAACTTGGAGGAAGGAACATCAACAATTTAAATATATAGATGACACCATACTACTAGCAGAAAATAGCAAAGACTTGAAACATATACTGAAGAAAGTCAAGGAAGAAAGTACAAAGGTAGATTTACATTAGGAACACTAGGAAAACAAAAATAATGACTACAGACAATATACATAATTTTAAAGTAGACAATAATGACATTGAAATAGCTCAAAATTCTCCATAACTTGACTCAATAACTAATGTGAACAGAGAGAGATTGCAGGCAAGAAATCAGAATACTAGGATTTGAAAGGGCAACTATGAATGAGCTAGAGAAGATCCTGAAGTGTAAAAATATATCACTGAATACAGTCAGCCCTCCTTATCCAAAGATTTTTCATCCACGGATTCAAGCATCCATGGTTTGGAAATATTTTTTAAAAGTATAAATTCCAAAAAGCAAACCTTGATTTTACTATTTTATATGAGGGATACCATTATGCTATGCCATTATGTTTAATGAGACTTGAGAATCCACGGATGTTGTTATCCACGGGGGTCCTGAAACGAAACCTCCGTGGATAACAAGGACCCACTGTACTAAAATCAGAAGAAAATGCTATGTTGTTGTGTACCTTCAAGTAGTTTACGACTTGAACCTACCACAGGTTTTCCTGGGACTGAGGGTGTGTGACTTGCGCAAGGTTACGCAGTGGTTTTCCATGGCCAAGCAGAGAATCGAACCCTGTTCTCCAGAGTTGTCCAATGCTCAAACCACTACACCATGCTGCCTCTCACCCATGCTATAGTATTCCCTATTACTATGTATGGTTGTGAAAGCTGGAGAGTGAATAAGACTGATAGGAAGAAAATCAGCTTGTTTTGAAATAAGGTGCTGGAGAAGAGTTGGAGAAGAGTTCCCCAGCAGCCAAGATGTCTAGATCGAGACTGTCGTATTTTGGCAATATCATGAAAAGACAAGAGTCACTAGAAAAGATAATAATGGTAAGGTAAGGCAATAGGAGAAGAGGAAGGCCAAATTCTAGATCAGGGGTCAGCAAACTACGGCCCGGGGGCTGAACCTGGCCCCTCAAGGCCTTTCAACCAGCCTGTGGCTGGTCCTGCCGCTGTTGCAGCTGCCGCGCATGCAACACAAGGTGCCATTTTGTGTTCCAAAATGGCACCCGCGCTTGCACACGCATGCACACGACACTGGGAGTAGTGCGCATGTGTGCACGGGTGCCATTTTGGAACACAAAATGGCACCCCATGCTCGTGCACGCATGCACACAACGCTGGGAGTAGTGCACATGCATGTGCACACCTCTGGCACCATTTTTTCCCCCTTCAGCCTGCCGATGATCTGGGGGACAGCATAACCGCCCCCCCCCCAAAAAAAGGTATGCCGACCCCTGTTCTAAATAGACTCAAGGAAGCCATTGGCCTGGCTTTGCAAGACCTCAGCAGGGCTGTTGATGACAGGGTGACTGGAGTCTCTCATTCATCAGGTCGCCATAAATCCAAGTTGACATGAGGGCAGTTAACAACAATATAAAAAGACACACTGATATGTGCGTGTGTGTGAACAGAGAAACAGGTGGACAGAGAGAGAAAGAAAGAGAGAAATTTATGTTTTTCTGGGGAGCCAGCATAATATAGTGGTTTGAGTGTTAGACTAGAGGATTCTGGAGACCAAGGTTCAACTTCCAGCTCTGCCATGCAACCCGCTGGGTGACCTTGGGCATATCACACTCTCTCAGCCTCAGGGGAAGGCAATGGCAAACTTCTCTGAACAATCTTGCCAAGAAAACACCATGACAGGGTTGCCATAAATTAAAAAAAAAAAAAAGACTTAAAGGCATAACATCAAAGGAGTGAAGTTGAACATGTCTGCAATATGATAGGTTGCCATATGTTGGAAATTACTTGAACGCATACAACAACAACAACATTCACAGTGAGGTAGTGGTTTGAGTGTTGGACTATGACTCTGGAGACCAGGGTTTGAATCTATGCTTGGTCCACTGCATGACCTTGGGCAAGTCACACTCTCTCTCAGCCTCAGAGGATGGCAGTGGCAACTGGCAAACCCTCTCTGAAGAAACTTGCCAGGAAAACCCCATGATAGATTAGCCTTAGGGTTGAGGCACACAACCACCACAGTCCAATAATATTCTGAAGGCCACATGATTCTCACTCAGTCCTGGCGTAAAGTATGATTTAGGGTCGCTGAAATAGCTAAATGCTTGTGTGTGCTTACTGAGCTTTTATGATGAGCTTCTATGATTGCTGTTCGGGGGTCAGATTGGATACCTACATGGGACCTTGTAAGAATAATACATTTTTTTCTGACTATCTCTCTTGAGACTCAAGCGTTGTTCCAGATAAGACTCCCTGTTCTGAAAACATCTCCTCTGTCCTATATAGATTCCCTGTTCTGTAGACAATGTCTGCTCA